TGATAAATTCATTGCACAATAAATTGCTTTGTAATTCTAGTACAATGATCTATAATAATGCATCCTCGGTATTAAATTTAAATTATTCATTATTTCCACTCTGTACAACCGAACTGAGCATGTATTTCGCACATATACGTACATGTATTTCCTTTTGAGAGATTTCCCGGCCCATTCATTCAGCACAATGTCTGATATAAGATTAATAAACCGTGTTACTGAATTATAAATGGTTCGAGATATAGAATCTCTTAGCAGAATCTCGCTTCTAAGATATAGTCCACTAGCTATTCAAGATTTTGAATTATATCTCTGATCCAATTATCCACATTACTGGATTGTGATAAATTATTTATTTAAAATGAATCACAGTGAGAGAGGACTTAACATCAGTAGTTCAATTAATTGTTTTTGGAAAACATTATTAAAAAAATAATTGAACTAGTGGTGTATGACATCGTGCCTTTAGGCAAATCGCTGGAATTTCACGTACCTTAATGAAATATTTGAGGAATATTAAATGTTTTCAAATAGATTATTATAAATTGAAATAACAAAAAAATCCCAAAAAATTCTTTTCATCAAAACAAGGAGAAAGTTTTTTAAATCATTCAAATGGAATGCTTAGTTCTCTTGCTTGCCTTTGCCCAAATCAAATTATCACTTCTTCCGATCATTACCAATTTTTGGATCATTTAAATCGGTTGAAATTTCAATAATTCGTTTCAAAGTTAACAAGTATATTTGCCAGATGAAAACGTATGTTTTAAAATATATAATCTCAAATATATTTCTTTCAGCAATAAATTTACAAAAGTGTTTAATCAAACTATTCTGAATTGAATGTAATTGACCCATTTGTGGAAGTCGCAATAAATATATGCGGCTTATACCGCGGCAGCCCTAAACAATAAATAAGGACGATGTGCCCGGAAAATACAAGGCATAAGAAACACATGTTTCACATTCACAAGATAACTATTGTTTATTATAGTAGATAGGCCTTGGTTATGTGCGTTGATAGTGGTTAAATTATTATTTGAAAACGACAGGGCTTTCCTACCCAAATGTAAGCTCTTTAATGACCGTAGTCATGTTATGCGAATAATTTATTGCAAATTGTATACGATGATTTTAAATAAATTAATATAACTGTTATTGATTATTAACTTCCCATAAGGTAGTTATAGTAATGGGCCGAAAATCGAAAATGAATTCCTTGATCATTTCGTTACGGTACGGGAAGTTCCAGCACATTTGCCTTAAGGCACGGTGCCATGCACCACTAGTTCTTGCGTATTTTATAAACTCTATTACCATAACTTGCAAACACTTATAATGATTTTATTACGCCCATTTTTCAATTCTTTTATAGATGCACAAAAAATATTCGAATCGATAGCAATCTTACTAAAATGCAGTTCATTGAAAATTGAGTGATTGGGTGATTACAAGATACCCAATCTAATATCAAATATTCAAAGGTTGGAATTTTCACATAATATTCAGAATATTCAGTGAACTCAGCCAGACAAAAATTAAAAATATATAAATATTTATTCGCAAATGGACTAGAAGTTGATAAAAAAAAATTCTCATAAATCTTAGCAATCTTAGATAGATTGGGTGATTGCATAATACCCAATTCAGTATCAAAAATTCAAAGCTTGAAATTTTCACATATAATATTGAAATTTCAGAAAACTTAGCCAGACAAAAATCTAATATGTATAAATATTTATTTGCAAATGAACTAGAAGTAAATAATATATGTAAGTATTTTTCCCTCATAATCTGTTCATTTCAACAAGAAAATATTTGTTTCGACATATGGCTACTATTAGAAGACGACTCAATGCTTGTAATTCTTCGTTATGATTAAATGTTTACTACAATATTTCTCTAATTATATTTAATAAACTTTTATTAAATATTTAATTTCATATTTACTTAGTGAAGGAACTAGAATATTAATTATTAAGATTAATTTTATTTCATTAAACAATAATATTATTCAAAAAGCTATAGATTACAAATTGTTTTGAAACCATATTTTTTTAGAAGAAAATAGTACAAACCTGTTTTTTAGTTGTAAAACCGTTTTTTATTTGATGAATAACAGCTAAAAAATTTAAATTGATAAATATAGCCAAGAGAACAAGATTTATGAGAGCACTCTTACAATTCTATAACCGATCTTTGTTTTACTATCATAAAAATATTTACACCCGTATAATGTATACCCGGTTTATACATATTATGTAAAAAATATGCATAAACAACAAATAATTAGTTATTTTCAAAATTATTTAATCCTGGTTATTTAACCTGGATCCTGGTAACTTTTTTTTGTTGCACACAATAAAATTGCACAGAAAATAATTTCCGTCAAAAACGAATAATATCATTAGCTCGAAATAAGCTGTTAATTTTTTTTTAATTACTTGAGCTAATAGCTTTTTTATAAAAATCGAATACAATAAAAATTAGTTGTATAAAAAATATAATGTTCAAAAACAGGTTTTCTAAAATATCGACGTTTGTATCAACCTTTGCAATATTAATCCATTGATTTTTATAATTTTTAGACTAACATTTATGTCTATGTATATATGTTATTTATATATATAATCCCTGGACAAACACATTTGCGAATCCTTTATGTGAAGCGAAGCAATTTTCTAAGAAGTCCAAATTAAATAATGGCGCGCGCGCATTACACTTTATTTTATACACAAACTTCATATACGCAATGTATTATTATTAAGATAAAAGCCTTCTTATGTATTTCAATCAGTTATATCTACCTTGATATTTTCTCATGATCTTTTATGGCAGTAAGCAGTACAATATCAGATAACTGAAGTACATAAATAAGAAATATAGTACATTTAATATGGAATGTTCTGACTTGCAAAAAGTTGCTGAGGATAAAATTAATATTCATTTGTAAAGGTTATATTATGTAAATTTGTTATAGTATGTACTTAAAATTGAATTGGTTGAAATAACTTAAATATTTATACTCATTTGGATTTTGTTTATTTTTTTAACAAAGCTATCATACACTCCTGCAAGAAATAGTTTTGGTATTAAATTCTTTGGTTTTAAGTAGATTCTCGATCAAAAATTTTTATGTCAAGAAATTATATAATTTTATGACAATCGATCTAGTGATTTTAGTGACAGGTGTCAATTGGAATATTTTGTATGTCAAATAATATTTTTTTAACATAAAACATTTTTGAAACAATTTATACATCAAAATTTCCATAATGGTATTGTTTACTATCATTACAATTTCTACAATATACGGTGAAATATATAAGTTTCTGGAACAATTTAAAAAAACAGAACCGGTAACTATATATTAGAAATATTGAAAAAATAATTGAAAGTTATATACTAAAATATGTTTAGATACCTTGGCATCTTCATGTGGTGGATTACATCATTCTAACCTGCAAAGAAGTCAGTAGAACATTTTGCATAAATAATTATTAATTATTTTTTTTATTTATGGTTGATGATTTTTTAGTGTTATGATAAAGTTATAAGATGGTGGACAGAGTTTCCTATATTATGGGCCTGGCTGACTAAGGATCCTGTTTTGTTGACCATAACTGTCGCTTTTTCAATAATATGTCTGATGTATCTTTTAACAGTAAGTAACCATTACAAATTATAAAATAAGATGGTATTCGGTATTCAGAATTTTTTTTTATAATTTTATCTAGTGAAAAAAATTGTATAATTCATGTAGTATTTATTGTAGAACAATCGGAAACATGAATTTCAAATATTTGAATTAAGTATCTATATTTTATTTTAGGTGTATTATATCAGCAATTCTTCGCTGGATACAATAGATCAATATATTTTCGTCATTTATGAGGTATTAAGTATTGCCTACAAAATTAAAAAAAATGGTATAAATAGTATTTTATATTTTCCAGGATAGTGTAGACGAAGGATCCTTAGAACTTTTACAAGGCAGACACACTGCTGTTTCATATGACAACACATCTTTGTGTAAAGAAAATAAATTTATTGCCACGATAATTGCTTGCACAAATCATACAGATAAAAAAATCACAAAGCAAATACAAAAAACAACTATAAAAGTACACGAAGAATCAAAACTGATATAATATTTATGGATTTATCTGGTCAAGATATTCTTTCAATTGCAGCTGCCAATATATGAATAAAAATGTGTATGGTCTTGTTATAAAATCAATTATTGTTACCATTCTGAACAATTCATAACAATTTATTATAAAATATACGCAGATGTGTCTTACAAAACAATAAAAATTAAATCAATATTTATAACAGTATTCATGTCTTTAAATTAAATCACTTAAGCTGCTTATATTTTGGAACTCCTTCTGTAAATAAAGATTTGCCAGTTTACTTATGTCCTTTCTGACATTTCTGCTATTTATGTACGAGAATATCTGACGTCAAAATATTTAGGGAAAAGGACCGCTTATAAGAAATTCCGACCGGGAAGTTATTCCTGTAATAAACCTTACATAGTTTTAGGATTTCAATGAGAGAGAAATAGAAAAACTCTTGGGAGTGGAACGTGATTTTTATTTTAAAAATGTAGGTTTAAATTTTTTAGCATTTTATACTATTTTAACTTATTTGTTTTTATTTAATTGAAAAAGTAAATGTCATTAAAAGTGACCTAATTTCTTATTGTCGAGCAACAGAGAAATAATGTGTTTTTCAAAAGTAAAGATTACTTTTAGTATATTCATGTCAATTGGTATTCTATACTACTGTTAACTAAAATTTAAATTAATAGAGTCGAGCTACATTCACTTTCAACTAATAAATAAATGATATTGTATTATTCAACCGGTTCTCTAATTATAAGAATTAAAAATTCTGAATTACAAATTTTATGAATATTTGTTGTTCATTTATGCAATAATTTATTTTAATGCAGAAACTAGTTAGTAAAATTATCGAAACTCAAATAAACTTACGGTGAAAAATAGAAGGCAGGTCCATGCTACGGGACGACACATTTTGTCCCATATTTCCGGGTCTGCGCTTTTTAATTCGGGTCTAGTTGTTCTGAAAAAAGTAAAAGTTATAATTTAGATCGGATTTTTTAAAATTAATACTATAAACTCATATCATAAACAAATCATTGAATTAATATTATTGCAAATAGTAGAGAATAATAGAGAAGACAATATTAATAAATAAATAATAATGAGATGATTAAATAAAAAAAGAGTTTTATATAATTTATAATTCACAAAAGAAGGAAGATGTTTGCGTTTTTACTGAGTAATAGTTTTTGATGACAATTTTGAAGTAGTTTCAATAACTTTAGGTACTTATTATGTTAGACAATATTGTAAACGATTCAATTACCAACAAATGTCTCAAATAACAGATCTTATGAAGTTTTATTGTGAGGAATAATAATTATTATTTAAATTTCGTCTTGTAAATGAATACAAATTAATAGTATAATTTGTACACAGTAAGAAAATTACAGTATAGTAATATATATTAAGCCATTTGCAATGAATTTAAATTCAATTAGGAAATACTAGTTAAAAGGTTTTTTCTGTCAAGTTAATTATTTTCAAAAAAAGGTAACAAGAATACATTTTGTCTGGTTTATATAAGATGTATAGTACTAGGATGGGTGCACGTATACACAATACAAATACATTTATAAATATATTTTATTTAATTATTTATTTATTTGTATTAACATTAAATATTATTTCGAAATATTTAGCTTTATATAGTATCCCACTCTATTGGAATTTACTATGAATTGCGTTTTCCATGTTACAAACTTTTGTTCACCCAACATTTTATACACTGCCGCACTCTAATGTGATAATCTAAGAACACAAATGCAACTTGTCTTTACCCATCCTTTACCATATTTTCATATTAAGGTATTAGTAATAATGATATTTCAGTAAAATTCAAAGTAAGAAAAATATTTCATAATTTCGAAGAAAAAATTTTTTTCAAAAAAGTCATTTTTTTAAAAAAAATCAAAATTCTCAAAAATCTCTTTTTTTCAGTTTCCAAAAAAATTTTAAAGCTTTTTTTTTAAAATTAAACTACGGTAAAGGATTTCAAGCAAGTTGCCTTAAGGCACGATGCCATGCACCACTAGTTTAAATTCAAACTGTAGGTGGCTGGATCTAAACAATAACGTTTATTAATATAATTATAGTGGAATTGCTACAAACTTCCTTGTTACCACTCAACAAATATAAAATAATGGTAAATGGCATGTAAGAATAAAATATTTAATAATAAGTTTGATAAAAAAATGATCCTTCATGAATATAATAATGAAATAGAGTGTTTCTATTATAGAGATGTCTTTATTATAGAGACATCTCTATTATAGAGATGACTCAAACAGTCTTGCTACGAACCGATGTAGAGCCTAGCTACGATCCGTTAGATCAATGATTTTTAACATAAATTTGAAATATAAATTTTGAAATATTATAAAATAATTTAATGAAAAAACACAAATAATTTTTTAATAACATTATCTATAATATTAAAATTCAAGAATAAAGATTTATAGGTGTTTGCATCAAGTAGTAGAACATGTATGAAAGCTGAGCTTTCGCAGCTATTAGATGGCAGACCTATTTCTGAACAACAACCCTCCTAGGACCAAAAATTTTGCTGGATCAAAATTAATTAATTTTGACATATATGTAAAAAAATAATGAAACAGCTTAATCAGTCACTTCATAAATAAATTAACAAATCGAATATATTAACTAAACATCAAGTATATGCATGTAGATTCTGATGTTTATTTCAAAGCTCAAACATGTCAAATCAGATGGTAGATTTTCAAATTTGATTTATATGAGAAAGCACCACAAAATATCTAATCTAGTCACTTATTACATACATAAAACGTTAATTCTGATTGTATGTCGATATCCCTTTATATTATAGAATGGATCAAATTATTTTAAAAAAAATACATATACAGAAATACATTTTGATATTTTCTTGCTCACCAATGTTATATCATGAAGCATTTTGTAATTTAAATATATCATATGATATTATGTGAAAAGAACACCAAAACACATGTTCATTTTTTTATGAAACATGTGTTAACCTTCAGAAGTTTTATATAACTAAAATGCTCTTTTATGTAATATTTCTTGCATTTCAATATTCTTATACGTTAATGTTCTCATATATATTCTTACATATAATTTTTATGATCAATAAAAAATAATTATTAAACAAGATAATGTAGCCGTAGTATGATTCTGTTCATTTTTACATGCGCATCAATCTGCTACAAAATCATAAAGTTAATTTCATAAACTTTTTTATACTCTTACGGTTATTAGAATTTACAGCATGGTGGTTAAAGAATGTATTATATTTATCGTTGCCTATATAATTATAATAAAACTAAAAATATTTTAATAAACGCCTTAAAGAAAATTTAACAAATATTTCAGGGAGTTATTAGATATCAATCAGCCAAAATTGAATAGCTAGGAATAAAATTATGCCGCATTAATTTTTTTGTATCTTTATGAAAATCGTAATTTGAAATGTGTAGTATTATATATGATATAAATATGAAGTCACATGATTACTTATCTTAGAAGTTATGATAGTGAGCTTGATAATGAATATAGTTATAAAAAATAAAAATGATTTATTACAACGAATAGCCCATGAAAATACCGCTAGGATTTAAAATTTTTTTTATTATTATTAATTTGAATAGCGATCAGAACTTATAGGTTCTATGAGCTGCTGTGATGAATTGTGAGCTAATATTTTAAATTTGTAGCATTTACCTTAGAGAATTGCATGTTTTCCGCATTGGAAACCCGCATTTCTGCACAAAGAAACAATTGTTGAACTGTCAAGTGGCATCGACTTAGTAAAACCACAATTTAAATGCACTAACGTTAAGTTATTTTCCACGTAACAAGTGTGAAATTTGTTCGTGCCAAATTGTGTTTGCACAAGATCTGGAACAAGACCACACAACTCCACTTCAAGTAGATACACGTGACATAATATATTCCTTTGGGATTCGGTTGATCAATATAGGACTTTTCTATTGGCCACATGTGATATGTGATTATGCCAAGTGCTCTTACGATAGAATAGAACAGTTTTTTGTCAATACACACACGAGCTGAGAAATTAATTATTTTGATATGCTAAATTCATATATACATATACATATATATATATATATATATATGTATATATATATACATACATTATATATACAAATGGAGCTGGATAATATGTTAGGTATGTTAAAACTCCAAAACGGCTGAACGATTTGGCCAATTTTATTTTTGAAAAGCTCGTGCTAATTCAGATGTTGTGAAAAATTTCTTTAAAACCGCGTAGAAACTTTACAATTGTAATTTAATTTTTTTTGTAGAAGCGTAATTTAAAATCGAGTTCCAGAATTTGTTTTAGTTGCTTCTTTCGTCACATACTTCTACATTCTTGCTCAGTTATTTTTTATACAAAAAATTTTCTAGAAATGTTTGCAGGGCCAGCTAGTATACATATATTTCTGTACACCTATGTGTATTTGTAACACGTGAAAGTGTAAAAGGGACATATATGTTAGGCGTTCTGGAAATACAAACAGTTCACCCTCAAAATAAACACGTGCGTTTAGAGTTGGGTTTGTAAGTATAGAATGTAGCTATATGCCATTTAATATTGAATAAAACCAACTATAAGGATTGTATTCAATTATTTATAATATATATATATATATATATATATATATATATGTATATATATTATATATCTTAAATATAAATTTTTTTATCTTGATGATGTATAAATTGATACTCTTCCTAAACGGTTATTCGTATTTTAATAAATCTTTTTAGAGTTTGTCGAGGAAAATTTTCAAGATGTGGGGAATTATAAAACTATAGTAATATTGTAGAAATAAATGAAAAAATTGCAAAAAACAACATATCATTGTTTGACATTGAAAACATTTCGAAACATGAGAACTGTCATCTGCGAAAAATGTCGATTCGAATTTAGTTTAAGCGAGCCTAAACAATAATAGTAAATAATATCCATATTCATAGTTACAAATAAGAAAAATGTAATATCTACAATATTATTGCCAAAAACCAGCTGAGATGTGCCAAAAATTAAAATAATATTAGATACAATATGTTTGGCAGAAGAAATGATATAATTCAGTTTAATAAATAACACAACGTCCAAAACAATAAATAACAATACGTCCAACATTGCATATACATTTTTTCCAAATTTATGCATGTCGCATTTTGGTTTATCTTACTAAGTTATTAAACAATACAAAAAAATATTTTTACTTATTAAAAAAAATGTTTTATGTATCAAAAATTCATTTCTTTGCCATTGGATATGGAATATCTAGCAAGTTGATCTTAGATTGAAGAGTGCTCATATAAACTAGATTTTACTAATTAATTCACCTGAGATTTGAACATTTGAATGATGTTCAATTTATTAGTAAGGAAAATGTACTTTAGAAATTATAACTGCCAAAAACTAATATATGGTACGCGATTATAAAAGTTATAGACTATTATATATTATATAAATTATTGAAGAAATTATATACTGAATTTCTTATACTGATCCAAAAACTGCAGTTTCCAATACATATATTAAAAAGTATAGGTTAGGATATTAAAAAATGGAACTTCAATTGTTGACCTGGGTACAGGGTAACGTCTATCAGGTCATCTTAAAAATCTGTAATTCTTGCAATCTCGCTTCTTATAGATTATTGACACATATCAGGAAGGTCATGCAACTTGCTTTAAGGCAAAAAGCGATTTACACCTAGTTACCAAATTCCTGAACGAATTTAATAGATCCCTTCCATGGCACGTGTGAAAATTTCTTTCTCCATGTGAGTGTAACCTATTCAAAATTATATCTTCACACTACATCAGAATGATATAACACCGTCATACAGTACAGAGAA